GAGTCCGCCCGGAGGGGGCTGCGGCCTCTGCTGCCGCTGGGGTGCTGGGGCCCCAAGCCCTCCCTGGCAGGCCTGTGCAAGCTGAGAATCCTGGAGAAATTCCACCGCCAGCCTGGCTCCCAGAGGGGGCCTCCGTCCCTCCCCACTGCCCTGACCCACGTGGCCCCCTCCAATCCAGGCCGCCAGCCGCTGCCTGCAGACCCTCCCGGTTCCCTTTCATGTCTGAGCATTCCTCTGTGCACACTGGCCCCTCTTCTGAGCCGGTTTGGCGGGCGGGCCCTCTGACGTTGCTACCGCCCTGCAGTTTCACAGGTGAGAAGCCTGGGGTGCAGACGGAGGTGACATGTTCATACAGCTGAGAGGTGGCAGCTAGGCAGGTGGGGGCTGGGGACACAGATGTGGAGCCCAGCGCCCCTGGGAGCCCCGGCCCAACCAGACCAGCTTGGAGAAGGCAGACGCCCGGCAAGAACGCGCTCCACCCTGCCACCCCCTTTACCGCCCTAGCCCATCAATCCTCCACCTTCTTCTAGGGCCTCTCCTGTCCTCCACTCAGGGGGAGGTGACAGGTCAGAGGTCAGTGGGAGTCCATGTGGCCTGGGGCCACATGAGGTCAGGCTGCCCAGGGGGCATTCCTGGCTGGAGGGCTGTGCTAGGAGCTCAGGAGGCCTGGCCCTGAGCCTCCCTCCCTGATGTCCAGCCCCTCGGGCACCTGGAGAGTCAGTCCCGTCCGCTGTCTCCGAGGCTTCAGGTTCTGACCCACAACCCCTGGGCATTCCTTTCTGCTACTTGCACACCAGTCTGTCCCGCCACTGTGCCCCTCATACACACGCCCAGAGGGTCCCTGCGGGGTAGGCGGCCCCGTAAGGTCACCAGGCTTGGGGGGCAGCAAGCAAGCCCAGCCTCCACCTGCTTCCCCGCGGTGCCCTTTGGCCCGTGGTGGCATCTCTACTCACAGGCTCCAGGGAGCATCACACACCCACAGGCTCCCAGGATGTCTCTCTCTCTCTCTAGGGGAGTCAAGCCAAGAGCCTCCCCTTTTGCCAAAGAGAGGGAACGGCCTCTCCAACTAGGTGCCGCCACAGCCATCCCGCAGTCGCCGGGCCTCACTGAACCGCTGCCTGGGGTCTCGGCGCCAGGGCCCGGCACTTACTCCTCCGAAGGCTCGGTGAGCCTGGGACGGGCGAGCGGCCACCCGCTTGAGCCCAACTCCGGGGTCACCCGCACCGTCGAGGAGAGACGGCGGGGTCAGGGTCTGAGCAGCTTTTCAGAACCCAGCCTGCCCCCCCTTTCCGAAGATCCCGCCTTACTCGCGCCTTCTGCCAGCGCTGGATGCGGGAGGGGTTTTTTTGTGTGTGTGATGTTTTGTTTTGTTTTGTTTTGTTTTGTTTGCTCTGTGAGGGCCAAGCAGGGTGTTTGCGGCGCTGCACCTGGAGGTGGGGGCTCATCTGGCTCCCCACCCGCGCCAGCCGGTCTTCCCCTCCACGCCCACCCCACTGGGGCCCGAGTCGGCCACCCGTTTTCATGCAAATAGCCCAGTCCCTGG